TTCGTTTGCATTGTAATCCTGGGAGTTGGCTCAACAACCTTCTACAATTCACGTCGCCTCATCAGTTTTATTCACTGCTTCTCCGCTTCGCTTTGTGATGTGTCCCAAATAAACTTATTCAACACTACGAGTTCATCTTCTGATTTATAAACCGTCAGAGGCTGTTTAGTAACAACTGTCTGGACGAGTTCATTACCGAGCTTAAGAACACACAGTAAATCGACACACTACAGACTACACTGTAAAATCATGCATAGAGGACAGCTCACAGACTCATTCATATTGAAGACTATTGTCAGGCGAGGTTACTTACTCTCACCTTTTCTCTTTCTTCTGAGGACCAAATCGGTTATGAAGATATCAACGTCTAAGGGAAAGCTCAGGATACAATGAGAATTTTGGATACAGCTGGAAGGTTTAGACTTCTCAGATGATCTGGCCCTTCTTTCGTACACCTAACAATAAGTTCAGCAGAAGACAACCAGTGTAATAGCAGTCTTAACAGCAATAGGTCTTAACATAAAGGGATAGGATCTTTGCATACAACACAGCATGCACCAACCAACCAAATCACACATAACGGTGAAGCTTTGGAAGATGTAAAAACCTTAACATACCTGGGCAGCGAAATTGATGAGCACGGTGTATCTGATGAGCGAATCGACAAGGCAAGGGCAGCGTTACTACAATTGAAGAACATCTGGAATTCCTTGAGTCGCATTTTTGTCACATATTTTACAAAAGATTGTGTCATCACTAACCAACTTTTATTAAGAGGTAACTCACTGTAAATCATCTTGATTACATCTTTTAATCACTTTCAGAACGTGTCGATCTATTTCTGTTTATCATAAAACTTTTCAAAGACAAGGAAAATTCACAGTTTCAGATATAGTTAGATATGATGTTACATATGCATGGAGCTACTCCCTTAGTTACTTACTAGTAAGAACATGGTGACATTAAAAATATCGTGAAATATGTAGATTATTGAATATTGTACGTAAATTGTTGCTTTTTGGTGAAATGAAGTGAAGCAAAGATAGATGAAATGTGTGGTTTACTTCTAAATTTTGAAAGATATTAATTAACCTGACAAAAATATCACAATTTTCTAGAATGAAACTCAATATATATTCAACTAAATAATTCTGGGGGAAGTCATAGTGTGGTGCGAGCTACTTATAAGTAGTATATGACGTGAGTGTCAACGTAATGTCTGGCAGCAGAAGAGAAGATGGGGGAAGATCAAGAAAGGAAGAGTTAGAACACAATGGAATTTGTATGAAACGCATGAATAGTGACACTGGATTGATGTTTTGCAACAGGAACAGTCCAGTTTGATATGATGGACCGATATTTTGCAAATTAACAACGGTTTACGATATGGTTTTCCGATTTTACTGAGTAACTCTGTAATTTGCGATTAAATACAATTCGGTTGTTCTCACCTGTGTTCTCGTTCAATACACTACTACTACCTCGTCACACTGAGTTGGCCTACTCTCCTTTTCCGCCTCATGTTTCCTCATTTCGCCTGTTTACGAGAATTTACGAAGTGAACTGATCCACATAAAATCGTACTGGGCTTCTTATAACCACCATTGCATAAACTGAAAATGAAGAGCAGATTTTTCACAAGGAATATTCATTTGTTCTTATAAACTGAAAGTCAGATACCGGGTCATTGAAATACATTACTACAATCTTAATGATTCCATTTTAAATTACCAGTAATTAGTATTGCCACATTTATATAGGATGTTTGAATCTTCTCAATTAATCAGTCAATTTCATGAATATACATTCTGTGTGAATAACCTCAACATTGCCATCAGGTCACAAGCATCTCTGTCATAACTTTTTCACCACTCTTAAGTTAATCTAAAACCATACATCGATTTTTAGCTAGGCTGGAAAGAAAGAATTGATTATTTATTCGTCTACTACCTATTGTAGTGAAGCAGAACACAGGTGGGGCAACCGGATTGTATTTAATCGCAAATTACAGAGTTACTCAGTAAAATCGGAAAACCATATCGTAAACCGTTGTTAATTTGCAAAATATCGGTCCATCATATCAAACTGGACTGTTCCTGTTGCAAAACATCAATCCAGTGTCACTATTCATGCGTTTCATACAAATTCCATTGTGTTCTAACTCTTCCTTTCTTGATCTTCCCCCATCTTCTCTTCTGCTGCCAGACATTACGTTGACACTCACGTCATATACTACTTATAAGTAGCTCGCACCACACTATGACTTCCCCCAGAATTATTTAGTTGAATATATATTGAGTTTCATTCTAGAAAATTGTGATATTTTTGTCAGGTTAATTAATATCTTTCAAAATTTAGAAGTAAACCACACATTTCATCTATCTTTGCTTCACTTCATTTCACCAAAAAGCAACAATTTACGTACAATATTCAATAATCTACATATTTCACGATATTTTTAATGTCACCATGTTCTTACTAGTAAGTAACTAAGGGAGTAGCTCCTTATGATTTGATGAGAAACTGAAGGCAACTGAAATTCACTCGCGTCATATACTACTTATAAGTAGCGCGCACCACACTACTACCTCCACCATTATGGGATTTGAATTGACGATTCGATCTTTCTGTGCTAATACGATATGGCAACTTGAAATGTCACTCGTACGTTCAAAGTTCTACGTTGTAGATGACTGACTGACTAACTGGAATGTTCAAACTATCACTTTAGATATATTACAAATGTTTTATCATTAAAAAGAGTTCGTTTTAATCAGACAATTCAAAAAGTTAAATTTATGTACTCAGTGACTTCATTAAAAGAAAAACTACTAACAACCTATTATGTCAGTCAGTTAGTTGCAACGTAGAACTTCGTACATATGTACATAAGTTCATGTTTCCATACCACATTAGCACAGAGACGCAAATGTCAAATCAAATACCATAGTGATAGAGATAGTAGACGTATTAACGGTAATGAAGAAGACTAGGGTTCGAAGATATTATTCAAGAAATAAAATTCAGTGAGATAAGGTTAGAAAGACAAAGGTAGAAGTGCTGACGATTCCAGAAGATTAGGATTTGAGAGAGCTCAACGAATGGATGCACTTGTGCCATTGCAAACGATTTTGAGCCATGTCGTTCAAGGTCTCTAACCATCGGTGACTTTCGTCTCGCGGACCCCAACCAGGTAGTCTACATCTACCAACATGACTCAGTCCATTTATCAGTGACTTCATGGATTTCTGCCATGTTTTGATCTGACCGACCCTAACTTTCTTCCAACCTATTCCTACACCACAAAACATATCTCGTCGAGGCAGTCGGTGGCTAGGAATTCGTAACACATATCCCAACCACCTCAACTGATGAAGTTTCACCACTTCATCTATTGATCTGCCATCCTTACCTAGCACCCGTTTGCTAACGACAGCATTGCTTACTCGGTTGTCCCACGATATACAAGCAACGCTTCTTAAACATCTATGATCGAATACTAGTAACCTATGAACATCTTCTACTCTTAATGGCCATGTTTCACAGCCATATAGGAGAACGGAGCGAACTTCTGCGCAGCACACCCCTCCTTTGGTTAGTGAACGGATATCACGTCTACGTCATAAGTGACGCAGGTTGGCAAAAGCCAATCGAGCTTTCTGTATTCGCGCTGAGATTTCGTCAGTCACAACCCTTTATGAGGTAAAACTATTTGAAAACTTTAAATACAAAAATGTTTTATTTTCAACTTCATATATCATTTCGAAAAAGTCAATAAAAGACAGTTATATTGAAATCTAATTATAACGATAACTGAATGTGACAGAGAAACATGCAATAATACTTTTTGATTACGAAAGCGAAGATAAATGATCCAGTGACACGGTTGGCTATTCTTATCTGTTTTCCGGCTAACTATATCAAGAAGTCTTGATAATGTGTAGAAAATGTTTTCTACAAGCACTCGGAAAATATGAGGCCGACAAACACACAAAATGAGCTGATTTATATATCATAGAAACGTCTTTGGCAGAGCCACAATAATAGTGTACTAAAATACTACATCAACCAATAACAGTCAAGGATTTTCCAAATGGGAAATGTAATCTCAAAGTCAATTGATCAGCCGATGCGCGAAAACACAAAAAATCCAAAATCCCGACCTTTTTACAAGTGAGTTCTCCGGGATCTAACGTCCTCAACACACATAAACCATACCAGACAATGATGAATCACTTGTAAGGAATATTTTTTTTTGTAAAAGAAGTATCATCCATATGCAATCGAGATTTCCTAGTGTTAGACCCAAGATTCAAAATTTCCAATAATTAAACCAATCAACAATTGATCTCTGTGTATTATGTTACTTTATCTTCTATTCATCATCCTAATCTGGTTTTTCACATTTTATTTTACAAAATTTGAACAATTGGAGCAAAATCATTGCCACAATCCTACTTATTATGTCAAAAAACACAGTTTCTTTTCACACTGATTTTTCCAACCAATGTGTAAAGATTTTTACGTAGGAGTTTTACTGTGTACAACAACATATTTAGGTATTCGTCCTGGATAAAAGTACAAAACCCAATTTATTGCCAAATAATTAAAATCAACTGGGGTTTTTTTTCAAAAAAAATAGATATTCTAACAAACAGGTTATCGATCGATGGAAATATTCTAATCATCATCCCAGTGGCCTATTGATCGATCGTATGCGGAAGCACCAATGCATCCGGTCGGTCATTGTTGTGGTGATTTATTCATAGACATACACACATGTTTGTGTGTACAGTGAAACTAACCAATCAGAAGTGAGAATACTGACATGATTGGCAGTTTGTCTTGTTTTGATTGGTTAATTAGAAAATGTTGTTTACACTCGTTTAGACCAATCAAATGGTAAGTGTTTTTTTTCTTCTTTCGATTAACGATTCGAATGATCAAAAGAGGAGGATACAAGATATTCTGGGGAGAAAAATAAACCAGGAAGGAAGGAAGGAAGCTGAAATTCCGCAGAAATTATGTCAGAGATTCCAAGAAATGTTTAAAGGTTTTTCTTTGGTCCTCTCTCAGCACTATTCATTGAGTATACACACACACACACAATTATAACGTTGTTCTTATTTCTATCTGTTCAATAAAGTCTTTGAGGCAAAACAAAGCATACACTGTGATGTATTGATTTTTATTACTTTTTCGACTAGTACATATAATACTCATGAGTAATCAGATACATATATATATATATGTTACAAACTAATCAAAACTTTCTATTGTGCATTGTCATAAAACAACACTAAGACATCGGATCGGATCAGATTCGCTACTTAGAAAACAACAACGGCCATCATAATGTTTTGTATGTGAATATGGATTTCGTAAAAACTGAAGCTACATGTCTACCAGCTGGTCGATATGAATTTAAAGATTCCGGTTTGTATATTGGTGAATGGTTAAATGAGAAAGCAGTCGGATTAGGTTTAATCACTAAAGATAAATGTCAAGGTGAATATACTGGATTATGGGATGCTGGTTCAGAGAAAAGTGGTGTATTCTTATGGCCAAATGCACCAGGTGCTATGTATGAAGGTGAATGGGCGCATAATCGACGCAATGGACATGGTATATTTACACGAGAAGATTGGGTAATTATGGGGCAGTTTAAAGATGATTTTATTAAATGTGGCATAAAATGTAAAGAGAATTCGATTGGACGATTTGAAGGGGAATTTGAAAATGGTTTCCCTAGTTTCGGTGTAGAAACTTATGCTGATGGAGGTAAGTCAGTCAGTCAGTCAGTCAGTTAAACAGTTTATTATTATAGAGCTTTCAGTGTCATTTCAGTGAGCTTTTCATTTAATGAGTGTTAGAACACATCAACTTGTTGGTTTGAATTTGTTTGTGACTGATCATTTTCATGATTCCCTTTGTTGTTTCATTGTTGTTGAGTCTGATGTTCGGTTGACTTACAACCTTGACCGGATTGATATCAATGTGTTTGTTGACTGACGATAAATCTAAACGCCATGTTTTTATCAATTCTCTGACACAAATAGAGTTTGCTGATGTTCAATTTGGACGTTTTTTTTTAAATTGAATCCACCTGCATGATAATCGATCGATATGAAATGTTATCAGTGATAACCTGTATCCGTTTGCTGACTAAAGGACGAGTGTACTGTGCAGTGGTTTGCTCCGTCTTACTTTATGGCTGTGAAACATGGCCAGTGAGAGTAGAAGATATTCGTCGGTTATTGGTTTTCGATCATAGGTGTCTTCGAAGCATTGCTCGTATATCCTGAGACACCCGAGTGAGCAACGCTGTTATTAGGAATCGGGTACTAGGTAAGAATGGCAGATCAATAGATGAAGTAATGAAACTTCATCAGTTGAGGTGGTTGGGACATGTGTTGCATATGCCTAACCACAGACTGCCTCGTCGACCTATGTTTTGTAGTGTAGGAATAGGTTGGAAGAAAGTTATGGGCGGCCAAACCAAAACATGGCACAAATCCATGAAGTCATTGACGAGTGGACTGAGCCATGTCGGTAATTGTTGACTACCTGGTTGGGGTCCACGAGATGATAATAATCGATGGTTAGAGACCTTGAATGACATGGCTCAAAATCGCTCGCAATGGCGCCGGTGCATTTATTCTTTGTGTTCTCTCAAATCCTAACCTTCTGGGTTCTTCAACAACTCTAGTTTTGACTTTCTAAACATTTCTCATTAAATCATACTTCTTGAATAATATCTTCTAATCCTAACCTCACCGATTACTTCTAAATACCTTTAACACCTCTTCTACTATTGGATTTGAATTGACAATTATATCTTTGTGTGCTGATGTGGTATGGCAACATGAACTGATGTACTTACGAAGTACGAAGTTCTACGTTGCATCTGACCGACTGACTGTCAGTGAAATCTAAGACCTATATATGTTGAACCTAATTGAAAAAATCGTCAATTGGACGGACTGACACTTCGTTGAGACTCGAACCTAGCACATTTCATTTGAAACGTCATCTCATAATCCACTAAGCGACTATGCAAAGCTATCTACTATCATGTTTAACAGGTATAAATTTATTGAGAAAAGTTTGTAGTTTGTTGTCCCGATCTTATGGAATGTAATTGATCAGTCTTATTTGGAATATGTACATTTCGAATGGATCTGTTCAGTATAACTATTTAGTCATAAGTTTTAACAATTTATTAATTATTTAAACACATAAAAATCAAGAGAAAAAGGTGGTAACCAAGTAGTTATGCGTTACGAAAACTATTGGATATGTGACTGCGCTTGGATGCTTTCCAGATGTTGATTTTCTTCAAAGACCACCCAATGAATCTTTGATTCAAAGGTCTAATCAAAAAGACAGCAAAACAAAATTATGAGGTGTAGACCCATGGTAGCCAGTGACCGAAAATAAATTCGTATGTCGTTTGTTCCATAAGCATTCTAGAGTCCGTATACACCACCGGTTTGAAATCAGGTTTTTCCATTCCTCTAAGTGGATCTCAGTCAGTCAGTTGCAACGTAAGAACTTCGTACGTATGTACATGAGTTCATGTTGCTATACCACATGAGCACAGAGATGCAAATGTCAAATCAAATCCCATAGTGATAAAGATAGTAGAGGTATTAGTGGTAATGAAGAAGACTAGGGTTTGAAGATATTATTCAAGAAATAAAATTCAGTGAGATAAGGTTAGAAAGACAAAGGTAGAAGTGCTGACGAATCCAGAATATTAGGATTTGAGAGAGCACAACGAATGGATGCACTTGCGCCAGTGCTAAACGATTTTGAGCCATGTCGTTCAAGGTCTCTAACCATTGGTGACTTTCGTCTTACGGACCTCAACCAGGTAGTCTACATCTACCAACATGACTCAGTCCACTTGTCAGTGACTTTGGTCTGGCCGCCTCTTGCTTTCTCCCAATCTACTCCTAAACTGCAAAACATAGCTCGTCGAGGCAGTCGGTGGTTAGCCATACGTAACACATGTCCCAACCACCTCAACTGACGAAGTTTCACTACTTCATCTATTGATCTGCCATCCTTACCTAGAACTCGTTTCCTAACGACAGCATTGCTTACTCGGTTGTCCCACGGTATACGAGCAATGCTTCTTAAACATCTATGATCGAACTAAGTGGATCTTACGCAACCTCTAACCCAACCTAAGCCTCCACAGGACATCTTTTTTTCTTCCTCTCAGTTTCGTGAACAACACAATCTTGTTTTGAGAAGACAGTGAGTAGAACTTTGCCGAAAGTGACTATACTTGCTTGAAGTTCTCTACTAACTCTCTCTCAAACAGCCTAACATTAGAGTCCCTAGTTAGACAAAGCCTAACTACACCAAGGTTAAACTGAATGTGTTTAATTTCTATCACTCAAATTCTTCATTATCCAATGTTTTGTCTCAATGTTTCTATGGTTTTCACCTTATAACATCACTTCATACTGTCGGAAATTCAATCCGTTTGTCCCAATAAAATTATACATCAGCAGTGACTCTTATAACTGAAAACTCTTCATAATATTATAGACCAGTGACAATACTATAAGTACAACATACATTGTGTGTAAAATATAACTTTTATGTACTATTTATTATTCACAGTTTTCCTAGATCGTCAAACCATTATCATTATAGACTACTTAAACTTTAAATAAGTAACATCATGTCTGAATCCATAAATATTAAAAGAGTGATTTCAAAGTTTCATATACAATCGTTATTTATTAATTAATTACAGATTAATGAAATGTCTAAACACTTCGTAAATATTAGTTTAAAGCTTAGGTTTAGGTAGATAGTCAAAATGATACCATATACATTACTGCACCGTTAACTTCATCAGTTGAGGTGGTTGGGACATGTGTTACGTATGGCTAACCACCGACTGCCTCGACGAGCTATGTTTTGTGGTGTAGGAGTAGGTTGGAAGATAGTTAGGGGCGGCCAAACCAAAACATGGCAGAAATCCATGAAGTCACTGATAAATGGACTGAGTCATGTTGGTAGATGTAGACTACCTGGTTGGGGTCCGCGAGACGAAAGTCACCGATGGTTAGAGACCTTGAACGACATGGCTCAAAATCGTTTGCAATGGCACAAGTGCATCCATTCGTTGTGCTCTCTCAAATCCTAATATTCTGGATTCGTCAGCACATCTACCTTTGTCTTTCTAACCTTATCTCACTGAATTTTATTTCTTGAATAATATCTTCAAACCCTAGTCTTCTTCATTACCATTATTACGTCTACTATCTCTATCACTATGGGATTTGATTTGACATTTGCATCTCTGTGCTCATGTGGTATAGCAACATGAACTTATGTACATACGTACGAAGTTCTTACGTTGCAACTGACTGACTGACTGACTGCACCGTTGCTTTGAGAGTAATGGCTGATTTATTTTTACTTACAACTGACCTGATGAAGCCGAAAATTGCATATGAATTAGAAAATTAGAATTAAAAATGAATCTTGTTCCTTAGTCTTTTAAAACATTGGAATCATGAATCAATCAACGTTTAGTCAACACTGAAAACACACAAGCACTGGATGGCCATTTCATAGTACTATGGGATTCATTAGTAGTGCACATCCACGGTATCGGACAAGAGAATCGAAACCAGAAACATTTCGTTTCATGTGAGAACGCTTAACCTCTGGACCACTGAGTCAATATCCAATAGTTTTAATGTCGAACTTTAGTCAGCCCACGATAATGAGCGACCTCATCTTTTGTATTTGGTGAGTAACTGCTCACATCCGACATGGCTGAACTCCACTGGTCACGACTACTCCCTAGAACTCCGAAAATTCCCTTTTGAAGCTAGTCACTAGTGAGCACGTGATAGATATCGTTATAGAGTTGTGGAGATTAAGGAGTTTCACTGAAACTACCAACCGACCAACGTTAAGACACTCTATCTGACAACAGTTTGAATAAATGAACAAGTAAAAAGTTATTTCTAGTTACTGTTGTGAAACTTCGCCTTGAGCTCTTCTGAGGTTACTGCCGGTCCACAGCCTGGATAAAGGAGGAGGGTTAGGCATGCGCTACAAAAACGCTTACCAGAAAATATAATACTGGTCGGCAGTCTATACTCAATTAGGGATAACAGGTGTACTCTACTTCACTCGACTACGTGAAAAATTTATCAAATCAGAACATCAACATAAAAGACATCACATCGATTGATTGATAGGTTACTCTTGATTGGCCAGTTAATATTTGAATGTACCTGCTCTAGAATGCTCCCTTGACTTTTCTTTACCAGTCAGATGTTAAGAAATTATTTCAGTGTTGTAGTGCCTCCACATATAATATTCCAGTTCGCTTACATCTAACTTGGTTAAGCCATTTCGATTAATTTATTTAACCAAGCCATAATTTGTATAGCAACAACTCATATGTACCATTGGTATTTATAATTATCTGGTTTGTATGAGCTTGTACGACTGAGCATTGTTTACGCCTACGCGCTTACTCATCCTTTTCGCTTTAATGTTAATCTCTCTTAATATCCCCATGAACTCACATGATTTGTATCACTTGTCATTTGACCTTGTCAACACATTCGTCGATTTTATTCATGTGTGTGCATGCCCTTTTTCGCTTGTCATATGTCTGTCTTATTTTTGGTCTGACTATGTATTCTTAGTCATACTCTATCTCTTTGGGTTGGCTCTTAGCCTTCTCCAATTCGCTTCTCCGCTTCGCTTTGTAGTGTGTGTTCCGAATAAACGTATTCATCAATACGAGTTCATCTGATTTATAAACCAACCATTAAGAACACGCAAAAATTTGACACACTACACTATGAGGAAGGAAGACTTCTGGTCCAGATAGGATAATTGTTTATCCGGTAAAGATGCAGTTTACCACAAAAAATATGCATACATCGTGTCTTCAGATTTCCATTTTGTAGAACAAACAAACTTATTGGTTGTTTTCTTTCATATGTATTCTGATCTTCAATATACTCTGATCGTACCATGCATTCGGATTTGATACTCTTCATTTTGATTGCACATTCATCTACTGCATACTACTTATAAGCTTCATTATGAGTAGTTCTCATCAAACTATTGTTGGGGATCCTCAGAACTCGCTTGATAAATGCCTAAATTTCGGATTTCATGTTTGCGAGCATGGGCTGATCAGTTGACCTTGAGATTTCATTTCGCACCAGGAAAATCCTTGGCTGTGCTTGGTTGCTGTATATTTTAGTGTGCTATTTTCTTAACTGTCTCAAGGACGTTTCTATGATGTATAAATAAACGAGATTTGTGTGCTTGATTGCATTGTGCTTGCAGGGTGTTTGTAGAATATACTTTCTATGCTATAACAAGACTTCTCATTAGTAAATTATTCAGGGTAGCCTACTTGGACACTGGTTCATTGTCTCGTTTGCGTTTATCGACTAAGGTGAACTCGTAATAGCTTCAGGCATACCTAGTGAGGAACCTAACAACTGTTACATGATTTGAAAGATTTGTTATGACTGTGAAATTCCAAAGTTTCTTATATTTGCATGTAAATATATGTTGTAGCGTTATGACTAAGAATTGTTATCTTCTCTCAATTTTAAAAATTTTCTTGTGAATATTAAGTTGTGATATAATGTGTGCATCTACAACTCCCACTACTCGCAGGAATCAAACTCACGACCTTCGGTCTTATGCGCGATCGCTCAACCTGTGGATCACTGAGTCAGCATTTGATGGTGGTAACGTCTAATTTGATCAATCTACGGTCTTGCACAACCTCATACATTGTCTTCTATGAGCAATGCTTCACATCCGAATCAAGTTGAACTCTACTGGTCTCGATTTCTCACTAGGACTCGGAGAAACTTCCTCACAGAGCTAGTCATTTGTGAGTACATGGCAAATTTTTATTATAGGGTTGTGGTGATTCTTGAGTTACTCTGAAATCATGAAAAGATCAATGTTGGATCACCATGAGAAACTTGGAATCTCTGTGAGGAGGTTTCACTGAGTTCTAGTGAGAAATGGAGACCAACAGAGTTCTAACCTATTTAGATGTAAGGCAGTGCTCATCGAAGACAGTGGATGAGGTTACGCAAGAGCATGGGTTGGTCAAAATCAGACATTAACACCGTCAAATGTTGGCTCAGTGATCCAGAGGTTAAGCGTTCATGTGCAAGAGACAAGGTTCTAAGTTCGAATCCTACGAGTGGCGCGAGTCATGGATGCTCATAGCTAATATTAAATTGTAATTACAAAAAGCTTAACTCTATAAACCATTTTTTTCTTGATATTTTCTCATCAAACAAACAAACAGGTAGTTATGCAGGTGAATATAAAAATGGTGTACGTGAAGGACTTGGTGTACGTACCTCTATACCATATGGTGAAGTGATTAATTTTTTCCCAGAAGAAGCTGCTATTGTAGCAGAAATTGCTTTAGATAAGAAAAAACGTGAAGCATTACAAAATTTATTGAATTCCTCATCGTCATCACATCAACATCATCATCATCCTAATCACATTACTACTACTACTAATACTACTACTGATACTACTAACGATTTACACAATATCACCAATAATCCTAATGCTGGTACACGTCGTGGCAGTCTACTTAGTCAACGATCCGGTGATGCTGTAGACATTGAAGATTTCGATTTACTACATGGTGGACAAGATGATAAAGATGAAGATGATGAACCATATTGTGGACGTCTAGCAAATCCAACACATCATTCAAATAAAAATTTTAAAGATTTACGTATGTCATGTAAATTTAAATGTGGTTTTGTCTTGTCATCACAACGTAGTGAGCTGTTATTAAGACGTCAACAAAAGTTAAGTCATGTAAATTTGAGTGGGGGCAGTAGTGGTTTGTCGATAAAACATCGTAAAGAACCTAATCATCACAATAAATCAAGCCGTCGATCGAAATCACTAACAAATTTATTTAGTCGTTCGTTAAGTAAAGAATCTATTGCTTGTGTTCGACGTCAAGGCAGTATCACGGAACATTCCGCACATGGGATTAATAAAATGGAACAAACACCGGAGTCCGTGTTTACTTTGGATCAGGTAAGAGGTTAATTATTGATTTGTTGATTTATAAATCATCTTAAGAAAATACATTGAAATCATGAATGAATCATTGTTGGACTACCACAGAAAAAATACAAAAGCAATCGACTGCCGTTTCGTCATGGTATGGGACTTATCAGTGGCTGTGTGCATCTACGACTCCTCCTACTCGCAGGATTTAAACCCAAGACCTGTCTTTTGCGCGAACATGCACGGTTGGATACCTTCGGTCCTGCGCTCGAGTCTCACCAGTGGCAGGAGTTGTGGATGCGTTCTACCAATGATGAGTCCCATAGTGGGACGAAACGGCCATCCAGCTCTTACAGGTTTCTAATGATGTTCTAACATTGATCGTTTCATGATCATGATAAAGTAACTCAACAATCTCCACAACCCCATAATGCAGATTATCTGGCTCGCTAGTGACTAGCTCCGTGAGGAATCTTCTCCGAGTTCTAGTGAGAAGTCACGACGACCTGTGGAGTTCAGCCGTGTTCGGGTGTGAATCAGTGCTCACCGAAGACAGTATATGAGACATTAACACCGTGAAATAATGGCTCATTTTTCCAGAGGTCAAGTGTCTGCGCGAAAGACAGAAGGTCCTAGGTTCGAGTCCTTTGAGTTGCAAGAGTCGTGGATGTGCAGTGCTGACAAGTCCCATAGTTGGACGAAATGATCGTCCAATGCTTCCAGGTTTCTAATGGTGGCCTAACATTGTTCGATTTATGATCTCACAAGATTGTATCGTGTAAATAATAATAGTAAGAGAATATGTGTGTGTGCAAATGAAAAGTTCTGTAAAATTAATGTATCGGCATCAGCTCCATCTCGTTTATCGATAGTGCTGCCCAGAAATGTAACGTTTGTAACAGCCTGCAGAGCTTCTCCACCAAGTATGATTGGGTTGTTCCATGTTCTGCTGTATCGAAGGATCTTACTCTTCGGCTTGTATGTGTTAAGACTTACTACTGTAGAGGATGCTGCGCGGAGTCCCTCTGTGGTTACTGCCGGTCCGATGCCCGGATAAAGGATGAAGGTTGGACATGGGTTTAGCAACCGCTTCCCGTAGAAAAGTAACTGGCGAAGAGAAACATTAAACAAGAAAATCCTTGTAATATATACGATTATGTAGCCTGTTCGTAAATTCGTTGAAGAAAAGATCCTTTCCTTGAACTTAAATATTTAAGTGGGAATTATGTGTCTCTATTTCAAGTGAATTCACTTAAGAGGTGTGAACCTTCAGGTTCTTTATCAATGAACTGAATTTATTGTTCCTCTTTTGATGTATATGGTAATCGTTGTAATCTAAAGACAAGTTCTACACTTAGAGAAAACGCCGGTTCCGTGTTGCTGAATTTTCTCGTGTTCCCTAAATCTGTAACTTTGTTTGTCCGACAAAAATGATCCTAAAATTAATTATCTTACTACTTATTATACTTTTATAGTAATATAAATTTTCATTCAAAAATAAATTAAATTAGGTCGATGCCATTGATCCAGAAACAGTGGAAACATTTGCTGGTCAATGGGAAGCTGACTCACGTCATGGTTATGGTGTATGTGAACGTTCGGATGGTGTGATTTATGAAGGTCAATGGATGAAAAATCGTCGTCATGGTTATGGTCAAACACATTTTCCTGATGGTCTATGCGAACAAGGCAGATATCAACACGGGAAGTTGGTATTTCTTTCATGGCCAAAAGGTGTGAAATCATATTTACTGTTGTATAATTATCATATTATGCGTGAAGTAGCCAGTGCTGTGAAACGTGCACGACAAATAGCTGATGAAGCATTTATGAAAGCAAATGAAGCTAGAGAAAAGTAAGAATAAATGGATTGGCATGAAAATTATTTAAATTTTGTTGATATAGTTTTAACAAACTATTTTTGAGAGTATAGTAGACAGAGAGAGAGCGAGAGAGTGTTGGGCATGTTAGGTCACCAAAACTCGCTTGATAATTGCCTTATTTTGTTTGGATTTCACGTTTGCCAGCATGGGCTGATCAGCTGACCTTGAGATTTCATTTCCT